TAAACCTTTCCAAAGACACTTCGACTTGACTGGCACTTTGGGCCACGACACCAAGAGGTGGAGCCCTGAATCTTGAAATCATGCCTTGCCATTCCAAATCATTTCAGGATCCTTCTTCTCGCCGTGGCCTCGCTCGCAGTGCCGGCTGACGAGGTGCTGTGATGCCGGGCTTCCTTTCTTCAGCTCAAGCATCTGTAGCGGGGCAGTGTGACCATGTGGCCGGGCTCTTGAACAGGCAGGGACACGGTATTCTCGGATCTTCTAGCAACTCCGCCTGTGCAAGTCGGAGCGCAGACTCGTCTTGACAATCAGAGGCAGCTGCCGACCCTGGCTTCTGGGATGCTCTCTACGCACATCCCTGAGACCAGAAGCGTTGGTGCGGGGAGTGACTTCCATTTGTTGTATTGAGTTGCTTGGTACCCTATGTCCAACGAGCCACCATTCGAGAGGCAACTTTGGTTTGAAGCAGCTCCCTGTGTTTTATGTCAGGAAAGTGCCAGAGAGCTGAGAAGCATGGTTGTTCATTGGACGAGTTTGCTTGCTCTGCCTCTGAATTTTCTGCTATTGCTACAACCACCCTTCGGCATGTACCTTGGCTGGTTGGCTAGGCAGAAAGCACGCTGGCCGGTGTCCAGGAGGGAGATGTCATGTGCGTACGTATGTGGGCATTCAGTTCTCCGGAAGAAGCCTGCGCGTTTGTGCGAAGCAAGTTCAGGGCTTATTCAGGAACCAGTCGCCTCAGCCAGCTTTCGCTCGTAGATCCAGGGAAATTTGTGTTGGGCTCTTGGCTGAAAATCGCTGCTCTGAGGCCCATGCTTTCATTACCACCTCCGGCAGCATAATGAGCATCAGAGATGCTGAAGGGATTGGCATGCAACTGGTCACGTGAAAGCACCTTGATTTTACTGTCAGGGTGGAAAAACAACAAAGAGAACAGCAACATTAGAAGCAGCAACAACACCAGCAAGCAGAATCTGAAGGGACCTCCTTGCAGATCATGTTGAATTGCAGTAGCAACCTTAAAAAAGGTCGTTGGGTTCATGCAGGAGTGCACAACTATTACGCTGTCGCAAGCCAGCCAGTCGCTATATTGCCCAGGGCCTGCAATCAAGGCTCTCCAGCTTGAAGCGTAAGAGCCAAACGTGGCATCAGGCTCCAACTAAATGCGGGCTATCCGGGATTGCCTGAGCAGGACTTCACTGGTTCATGGCAGGGCCTCACCGCGCAGAAGCTGCTTGAGGTCCTAAGAAAAGGAGAAAGCAGTGAAGGTTTGCATAGGGGCCAGGTTTGCATCTGGAGTTGGGGACTGTTGAGCAGAGTCTGAAGATGCTTTCCGGTTCTAGGATTTGCGTTGGGATGTCAGATTTGTTGCGCTGCTGCTGTGGTATTATCGCAAAAAAGTCGAGGATTTGCGAGATTTCCTTCAAGATAGGCCCAAATATCAATTTTGCTTGATGGTGTTTAGATGTGCCGTGGGGCACGGCATCCGAAAGCAGTGAAACAGTTTGTATTTCAAGGCCAGAAAACTTGGACCCGAGGTGCTTGACGGGCGTCTTGCGCTCCGAAAGGACAGCAGTCGTGGTAACTGCGTCTTGCATTGCTTTCGGTTGGTGTTGACAGCTCTGTCTCAAAGTGAGGGTTCATTGTCGCGTGGTTCCTCAAGAGTCCTAGATCTCAACAGCACGCAACAGGAGACCAGCTTGGTCGTCTTCGGCAACGGCGATGCGACTTTGTGCCAGGTGTTGTCACATGTTGCAATCACATACTGTGAAGCTGCACCCGCGGCACGTGGTTGGGGAATCTTCTCTTGAGCAATCTTGGGCTCGATGAAGCACGTCCACCTTTCTCTTCATAGTTTCTGTGTTGCCCGGCAGTTGCTCTCTCTAACATGATGACGCCGTTGTCCTTTCTGCCGTTAGCAGCATTGCAGGAGCTGTTAGAGAAGGGCCTTGCAGAGATCACCGCTGGAGTCTGAGGCAGGCAGGACGAGGCGGAGGCATGTGTTGAAAATCCTTGTAGTGGCCTAGTGAAAGGTAACAACTTGGCGCGGAGGCTATCTCAGCGCTTGTCAGTTGTCCATCTTGGTTTGGGCGCTCAGGCAGTAGACTTCAGCGCCACTCTGTCACAGCAGAGGCCGATGTATCTTGGGTCTGTTCGTCAGGGTAGTGTCAGGCAACGGCTAGTTGATCGGCTTGATAAACACTCAGATGATGCGTTCTCTAACACGGTATCCATTCGCAACTCAGGTCTTGTAGTTGGTATTGCCCCGTCCGACTAATTGATGAGAAGTTTCATTATTGCGTGAAGCACCAGGGCACTTTGAGCCTTCATTGCACAGTTTTATCCGTCGGTTCTTTAAACCCCGCAGCATGTATATGCTCCATTTGATGCTCAACGCTAGCAGTGTCCAGGGATTCTTCTCTGATGGGCGCTTCCACGACTGTTGAGGGTATACACCTCATGTTGTGTTTCCAAGACTTTACATTGTATGTGTGTGGTTTTGTTGCGGTGGCTGTCGGGTTGAACTCTTCACGACAAGATTTTCTCCTTGGAGGTCCATATTGATACCATCAGTGATGTATTTTCTGACTGCTGGCCAAGCATCATCATCATCATCATCATCATCATCATCACGACTTGTCGGATTAAGACGTGCAGTTCATCATGCCAGCGCTCTAGCCTGTCCTTCGGTGCCTGGCTGTTGTACAGCAGCTGGGTGCAGCTCGGTCCAAAATTTTGCACTGGAAATGCACAAAGCTGACGACTATAACATCGGCATTCTTGTCATGGGCCTTTCTCAAAAAGGGTGCACAGTTAGGAGCGTTACTTGAGCTGTGAATGTCTCAAAGCCCACTGCAGGCCGCAGCTTTCTGGCGTCCGCTGGCTGGTGGAGGCTCTGACTTTTGCGCAGGGCAAGTCATTGGGCTTAGCGATTTCGCACATCATCGGGCCCCATCCTGGCCAGGATGTCCGAAAGCAGACGCAGTGCCCCAAGAGCTCTCTTGTTCGCAAGTTTTGGCTTCATTCTGTGGGTTGGTACTGTACCAGACATCCGGGGTTCACTGTAAGCGCTAGCACGCGTCAGACGCCACAAACAAACTATTTGCGTGAACTTGTGGGGAGAGGGAGGCTGGGGGGTCTGGCGCAGGGCTCAGGGGAGGGGGTTGAGCGGGGTGGGGTTTGAGGGGGGTAGGGGAGAAGGCTGGATTCTGGTGTCGGCCGAGGCTGAGGCGACTTTTTCTCATGTACAGGATACTGACTTGTCACGAGGCTTATGCCATCGGCCTGCGGTCATATGGGGTGGGGGCGGAATATGCAAGGATCCTGCAACCACCCTGACCTGGCAAGGCTCAGCAATCGTATGTATCCTCATCTGGCCACACCAATGGCTGCAAGCATTCCTCAGTACCAGTGGTGTGAACTATTGTTGTAGTTCTCAGGTCCCTTGCTGCATCTTCCTTCGATGCTGTTCTTGAGCTGGGCACGCTGCTGGACTGCAATCAGCAGAATCGTGCCCAGGCCATCATGCCCTGCATCTAATGTCAGTGCCGGCCTTTACAGGTAATATCAGGTAATGTGTAAGATGTCATAAGTGTAAGCCTTTCTGTGCCGTGCCAAGGTTAGATTCTGCCGCGGCAGTTCGTGGTGACGGGGTCCGGAAGACAGCTGCAATCGATCCGCTGTAGACTTCTTCTCAAATGTCAGAAGATGTTGTTGTTCGGATGTGGTGTTAGTACATGTACGTGTCATGCTGCAAGCTTCTTTGAGAGACTCTGCAAGCTTCTTTTCATTTGTCGCGCATGGGCTCATGGACTGGGAAGCCGCAGCGCCGCAGGCTCCAGGCCTCCTTCGTGAAGCGAGGCGGCTCCTTCGTGCGGGAGGCGCCTTTTGGGGTCGTGAAGGTGCTTCGTGGTTTAGTTCAGATTTGGCACCACACTGCTATGTAGGCCTCTTCATCTCAGCGTCTATGGACCCTCCGCAGCAGGGCTCTCAGCCGTCAGCAAGCCAATTCGGCAGATCTTTCCGGGCGACGTCGCCGCTCGAGCTTTTGGCGGACTAAGAAAGGATGCTGCGCAAGCTGTTGCCGAATTTCCAATACGAGGATCTAAGAGATGGGAACATTTTCGATGGTGTCTCTTGGGTCTTGCACAGGTTTCGGCTGCCGCTTCTTGCCGAACACCCGGCAGGAGGCACCTTGTGACAGCCGTCCTTTGACCCCTGCGGATCCATTCCGCTTTGGTGGCCGCGATGTGAGTGACATCGCTACATTCCATTCCTCTCAACCGAAGAAAGTGCCTGCTTGCACATGTTGCTTGAAATGGGGCTTTGAGCTCTCTGGGGCTTGCTGAAATCTCTGAGATGAAACAGTGGCTCGGCATGAGCAGGCTGGGCTGACAACGCGGAGATCCTCAGGCTGGCCATTTCTTGGTGTTATAGCTAGTGTAGGCCATGGGACCGTCCTGAAAGTAGGACCCAGCTACCCAGCCCCGTCTACAGCAACTTCCAAGCGCACGTAGCGCTCCCTTCGAAGCATAGGACGCTTAGCCTCAGGCTCCCTCGCCGCCTCGACCTGGCAGGGTCCCCAATGCGTCCCAAAAAGATTCTTGAGTTTCTATGTTCATACAGTGCAGCGTGTTGATCAGGGCTTGCATAGTTGGGTGCTATGGCTGTGTGTATCTACAAAAAGCACGGTCAGGACCCCAGGGTGAAGGACTTGGATCCAACCTGGGAGGCTAGGTCGCCTTTCCTGGATGGTCTTTGCTTTATCTGATACTGACCATGTGCCACTCCGGGTCCGAGAAGTGCTCAAGCGAGAGTGATTGTCTGCTGATTTTCGATTTTGGTCGACTCTGCCCTTGAAACTGCGAGAGCCACCTAACTGCGCGAACAACGGACCTACGAACGAATGCAGGTGGAGAACATCTTCATCTACGTAAGCCGGGCAGCGGGTGAGGTCAGCAGCTCTGCAATCAGATACAGTCGTAGACATCTGGTGTACAATGAGCATGTTCCTTCAGAAGCTACAGGAACTGTGGGAGTACGATGACGCTATTTGTTGTGCGGTTCCTGTCCCCGTGAATCTTGACACCTCGTGAGTCCACATTCTGGGCTTGCAGTAGCAGCGATTCTTTGCAAACTCCTGATAAGGTTTTACAAGGGTTCTGTCTGAGCAGCAGCTGCACGCACTGTAGCGACCGTCAAAACAAATGATGTCAGGGTGGTCCCTTTGTTTCTTTTTCAGGTCGAGCCAGGGCAGCGGCCAGGCCGAGAGGACGATTTGAATGCGTCCAATGCGCAGCCGTTGTGTGACTCGAGTGATCTTGCTCAGTTGGGTGAGCTTGTTACGGGGATGCTTTGTGAATGTTGGCGCGCGGCATGACCTTCAGTGTTGCAGGAGCCCTTGCCGCAAGACTCGCCGGTGCCTCCGACAATCGAAGCAGCGGAACCTGCAGGGTTGCCAGCAGCTGCTACCATCACAACCACCACCACAAAAACCACCCCAGCCACAACGACAGTAGCACCAGAAACTACGCATGCTGCAACAGCTACATCCTTGCCAGAACCCACCTCAACTCCACACTCTACAGACGCACCATCCACGACTGTACCGCCTGTGGAACCTTTGGCAGCTCCACAAGTATTTGCACATCAGACACCTGTTCCTTCAACCTCCACGGTCCCTGTCGCCCCAACATCTGCGCCTGGGGCAATTGTGCCCGAAGAAACCGCGCAAGCAGAGCAGGAAGCAGAGGCAACAGCACAGCATGGCTTAGACTCTCCAGACAGCAAGGAGCACGAAAGACAAGAAGTGCCCCAAACCCCACCTGCTCCACCAACACCTCCGTCAACCCCCGCATCGCCGCCTTCTCTGAACCCTCCACCTCCTCCGCCCTCTCCTCCAGAACCTCCCGCAACGCCAGCTCCACCAGCTCCACCAGCTCCACCAGCTCCGCCAGCTCCGCCAGCTCCGCCAGCTCCGCCAGCTCCGCAGGTGCCTGCGGCAGAACCGAAGGCGACAGCATCAAATCGTGTGCCCTTTTTAGGAAGTTGAATCTTCTTGCAGGCTGCGAACTGAGGTTCCATCGTTTTGAGAGGCGTATCTGAAGGGTCTGAGGAAGCAGGCAGAAGCCTCAGCATAGAAAACGGAAATGAAGTTCTGCTTGTTCACATGAAATGTCATTCATGGCTTCAACAGTGGCTCAGGACTTTAGGCCTTGACCGTTAATTGTGACTTGACACCGAGAGGCGGAGGTGGAAGATGACTTTGCTGCCAGCATCCGCCGGCTGCAGGAGCAGGTGTTCAAGCTCTGTTTGTTCATGTTGCATCGTGTTGCCTCCAACTTCCAGAAATTTGTACGTGCTACATGTCAGCTTGGCAGGCGGAGGCTCTGGCAAAGGCAGCATCGAAGTGAGCGGTTGGGTGATCTGTGCGGGGAAGCGGAGAAAAAACACTAAGTTTTGGAACGCTACAAGAAGCATCCGCGCTCATGGTGCCAACTGATCATAGTGGCGTCTTCAATTTGGCTGTCTGTGTGGTCCAGAAGAACATAGGTGCCAAGAGGCTGACATGACATGACTTTATGAGGGCACCCCAGGCCGGGACTGCGTTGCAACATCTCCGGACTCACGGGTGTCGAGGAAGAGAAGCACATGAATCAAATTGAAACACCTGCAGAAATGATAAATCCAGTTACCGAGCTATCCCAGCCTCCTCCTTCGGTGCCTTTCCAAGCGGAGCAGGTGGCTGCAGCTGTAGGCACTGTAGGCCTCTGACAGCAGAAAAGTTGTATTTCAAACATCTCAAACTGCAGCTGTGCAAAAGGCACCTTCCTTTTTCAAGCATCTGCTGGGTGCTTGAAGAACACGCCACGCCGTTTACACACTGAATTTTTACCCAATTTCCGCACAGAACCTTTGCAAGCTGCACCCGAATCCGAGTTCAGTTTGCAGCTTACAGACAATGCGTTCCGCGTTGTGCTGCCGCAGCCATGCCGCCTGAGCGTGCCTGGGGAAGGGCAACCCGACTGCAGCTGTTTGCATGTAGCCTTAGGCAGGAACAATATCTCTGCGTTTTGATTCTATTTCGCAGCATTGCTTAGGAATTTGGAGCTTGGTTTCAAGTTTTTTTGTTGAGCAGCGTTGGTGAAGGTCACTGTAAGGATTGCGAGAACTCAGGAGCGGTGCCAGCAGTGCGAGCGTTTCGCAGATGCTGTTGCCGAGGCAGAGTGTGCGTTGGGACTCGTTCTTTTTCCAAGAAAGGACACTTCAAGTCCCGTTCAAGTCGGCGCCCTTCCCTGTGAACCTGTGATTTCAAACCTGCAGTGCAGGAGCCGCAGAACTGGCGCCCACAAGCGCCTTGGTAAAGATTCAAGTTGCCTTTGTTTCGTAAATTGCGAGCATCCAATGCCTGACCATGTGTGAGTACAGGGTGCATGTCCAGATCATCCTTCTGAACTGTCATAAAGCACTCATCAGCATGTCTAAAGCTTGATCTGAACGGCTTCAGAACCGGACATCAACCCGAACTGCGCCACGGCGAGTTTGTGCTAAGCCAATCATCAGTTAGATGGTCGAACACACTCCAACAATTGGCCTGAAGTGTCGCTTGGAGTTAGCAATCCTGTCCTTGCAAGGCGCGGTTGCGGACAAAGACACCGCCGTCAGAAGCAAACCGAGCGCCTCGATCGGATGCTTGAGGTTGATGTTTCCTGCTCTGCCACAGGAAGCTCGAGCCCTTAGTGCATAACGTAAGCTCAACCCCCCCGGCCCAAAACTTGTTCTGCGATTTGGGCTTATGGAAGGGGCGGGGTCGCAATAATAAATGACGGGGGTGGCGCTAGGACTAGGTAGTGCAGCTCGTAGGACCAGTAGTACAAGTACAAGGAAATCTAGTAACATCGGGATGTTTCGGGCCGGAAAAACATATTATTGTCACCCCTTTATTATTGCCCATGGACCTTAAGTAGACCTTGTCGGGCTCCAAACTAGTTAGAAAGCAAATTTGATTGTCAAGGATTTTTCCGGTCCAGCAAATCAATGCTATTGTCACCCCCTTTATTCATGACATGTGCCGCAATGGATGGTCAAGCCAGCAAGGCGACCGGGTCTTGCTTGCATATTGCCTCCCTACTAGCACCCGACCGCTACTTGAATGCAGAGAATCAAGCCAACAAAGCCTTTGCTTTCGCTGCCAAGACAAGCAGTCGGCCGCTGACTAACGCCATCCATTTTCTGCACTTAATTGCGCTACTATGTCGACCGGAAGTCCACCGCTGCAACACCAGGGACGACGGGCGTCGGGCCGATGCCGGCAAGCCGGGCGAAGACTGCCTCGAAGCCGGCTGAGGACTTCCCGTTTCTAAGTTCGTGGTGTGAGAGGCATCGGCAATGCTGTCTGGCGTTAATATGCACCATTGTTTCGATTCACAGATAAGCTCCGCGGAAGCAACTCTCGCGGAAGGTTTGCGGAAGCACCCGTTTTCGTACAGTCTCGGCAAACAACATATGACGTATAGAACCTGCTTTCTACCCATCGTATAGGCCGCAGCAGTCTTCGAGGATTTCGTGCCCCGAAATGTAGCCGAAGAAGGTTGGCAGAGGGGATGCGCGGAAGCCGAAAGGCAACAAGACTACAAACGCTACTCGCGGAAGGTACCAGGAAGGCCTTCGGGGAAGTTGGTTGTTACTGGGATATAAACAAAAACCGCGTCAGATTCATCATTCATACGGCCATGAGGGGAGAGCACCCCAGTTTTGGATCTGCAGCTGACCAGTCGCTTTGCTTATGCAGCCGAACTTCGACAGGGCGCACCCCTGAAGTGTCTTGTGATTGACTTCAGGAAGAAGACCCGGCCGCAGGATGTTGAGTTTGTACCTTGGCCAAAGGTATCAGGATTGCCGAGTTCAATTTTGCGGTAGGCTGAGTGAGGGTCTTCAGCGGTGGTATTGCTAAGGTAAGGGTCTAGCTTACCAGCCTAGTAGATTCCATCACTGTGGTGGAGGATTGATGGAGCTGGCGCCTGTTTGGGAGCTGGGAGGCTGAGCCTTATGTCTCGAAATCTGAGCGGCATCCATGTGCAATCTATCACTTACAAGATTGGGTCTCAGCTGGCTGCACGTACCGAAGCCGCTGTTGCAAGGGTGGGCGTCCTCGGCACCGTTTGAGGACCTGGGCAGCGCAGATTGCTCTATGTCAGCTGTCTGAGTCTGGATGCTCCTTGATACTGAACGGGTTCAGACCGCATGAAGCATAACCCATGTGCAGACCGTCTGCCCTTCCGACATCCGAACAAGTTCCGCTCTTCATGCATTCACTCCGCTCCGTCAGCCGGGATGCTATAAGCGTCAGGACCAAGACGCCCGAGCGTGAGGTGCACTTCGTGGCCTGGGTGCAGTTTTCAGTGCTTGGCTGGTCCTTGCCTGTTGGTTTGTTTTTTAGCTCCAAGAATGTTTCTCACAGAGCTGTGAAGCGGACTCTCGCTTAGGGGGATAAGTAAAAGCGCATGAAGTCACTCGAGCGCCCGTTGCAGCTCTCAGGTACGCCAACTTCCAGACCACCTCCGCGGATCCAGAGGTGGGCATCCGCAGAAGAGACTCAGGAGAACAGCAGATTGCGAAAGGAAAAGCAAGGAAAACCAGTGCCAGAGAAGGGTGGTTTGGCTTGGAAAAAGCTCGGAAACCCATGGAGGGATTTCAGCCACAGCATTCCTGGCACTTGTACATCTCCAGGACAAAGACGCCTGACAGGGATGTGCGCTGGGTGCCATGGATGCGATTGAGGGTGTGTTTGTACCTCCGCCGCTTTCTGAGCCAAGGGAAGACAATTCGTGCGCTTAGACCGGATCACATGAACGACACAATTCCAGGCAGTAGCAGACCGTTTTTCGTTGATGCACAAGCTTTCAAAAGGCATTGATGGCTACACGATAGGCTGCCTGGTTGAAACGCTCAGATGTCCCTGAACCGCAACTGTACTCTGTGCCTCTCTGCGCCACTAGGTGAGAAGTGGGCCACGCCCGCCAAGCGACAGGCAAGCAGGCCTGAGGCAGGAGACACCCAGGTCCAGCACCAAGCCTTGTGAAGAGAGTCTTGAGGGTCTCAGTTCGAATTTGCCCTGGCTTTTGAAGAGCAAGCATAGGGCCCGCAAAGGCCAAGAGCAGGAATCCAAGAGCCGCGAGTCAAGTCAGCAGAGGACGGGCAGGTGGTGCTTCGAACACAGCCGGATTTAGGCATTGGTGGACTGCAGCTTGGGTTTTGCTTTCAAGGAAGTTGACTTGAGCTGAGGTAGCTTCACATAGATGAAGCATTCGTAACTGCAGCCTCCAAAAGACCATGATACTAGAACGGAATCATTCTTGCGGTCAGCGGTATCATATTCAAGTTGTGCTTACGCTGGCAACGCGCTGGAAGCTATCTCATGAATTCTGCCGTTTTTTGCAGGGCATACCTGCAGTAGCCATTCAGCCCAGGTGCCATCTGCGTTGAAGGAGCACGAATATTGGATGCTGGGTCGTCCGAAAGGCAAGGCATAGCAAGGAGGATTGAGTGGTGCTGAAACCTGAAGTGGTATTTTGTGCCGTGACTCACAGACTCTTGCGGTTATATCGATCTTGGGGCTGCAAGTTGCGATGTGTTATGGCAGCCTGGTTTCAAAGCTCCCTCGCAGTCCAAGACAACGGAGACTTCAGCGCGGCCCTCCAGGATGAGAATCAGCGCCTTAGAAAGTTTGCAATGTGTATCGGTCAGTCATTTTGGGTTGGAGGGGTCCGGACAGCATGAGTCTCGGCCGCAAGTCGAATCAACAAGTGAATTGAGAGCAGCGACTGCAGCAGAAGGACAGACGGCCACATGGCAACAGCAAGCGCCGGACAACTCCAAGCCTCTCAGCTTGGCACATGTTACACAGCAAAGTTCGGGGGGTAGGGAAATTTACAAAAACGGTCATGAGTAGGGTGAGGACGAAGCTCAAGAGCAGGTTGGGATGTACATAGTCGCAGAGCGCTTCGGGTTTATTTTGACCGCAGAGGACAGAGGTGGTTGTCGGCGAGGGATTGTCAACGTCAGTCTTGGAGTCAGCAGAGTTCTCGGCCCTAATTACACAGATTTCGGCAAAGTTTGCTGAACCCTCCAGGGCTGGCGTCCAAGTCCACCTTGAAGGCGCAGGAGAGCTCGTTCTGGCTTGGCTGCATGCTTCATTCAGGTATCCATGAGCCGTGCGTGCATCCGTTGTGTGGACAGAAGATGAGTACGAGGAACTCGAGGACCACCGTAGTGTTGTGGAGCCGGGACAGGAATGCTACTTGGCCTTCCGTTCATGCTGGTAACAGCGTACACCCATGGCTCTCTTGCAACAGCCTTGCTTTGTTGCTGGCTTTGGTGTCAAGGCTTTCCACGGCTGATCTCTCCGAAGTCGGAGGCGGCTTGGCCGCGGACAAATCTGGGACTTGAGTGTTTGCACATGGCCGACGTTCAACGCTGCAAAGCTGGAGCGTGAATGCTTCGTGGAGTAGCTCGCTTAGTGCTTCATGTGCATAGTTGCGCTTGCAAGGTTGGTTGTGCTTCAGTTGTTAGCTTTCAATGCCGGTCTCAGCCACAACGGTTCATGGGTTTTGCTGAGTAATGTGAGTGTGCTGAGTAATTTTTTCGCAAGGCCGAGGCTGCATCAAGCAACCCTGACAGAGGCTGGCTGGGGCGGCAGTTCTAGCTGCGCAGTAGACTACTCTAAGTGGTCATCTTCCGGGGATGAGCAGATAAGATGATTGCCAGTGCTGTACATGTGCAGGATCCGACGATGAGATGTGGGAGATGTGGAACCTCTTGCAACCAACAGACGAGGAGGCTGATGAGACCGACTCTTGTTCGCAAGTAGCTCAGCCACATCTTATGTGTCCTGTCTTCGTGGAGCCAAACTGGCCATTCCTTGTTTCAGCCCGGGCGGGCTTGTCAGCATGCTCGCTCTGATGAGTAGAGGAGTGCATTGCTCTCACATTTTTGCGGTCTCCAGTTCTGGTTTGAGATGTGTCCAATGTGGTAGGCAGCGGCCAGTCACACGCCTGGGGATTTTCACGAAAGATTGCCCTAAAGAGGGCAGACGCAGATGGTGATTTTTGTTGCGTTTTCTTTCAGTTGTCGTTGGAAAAAACTTCGTGGAGCCTTGGGTAAGCTGATTAGATCAAACACAAGGGTAAGTGTACTTCACATCACCCAGTGTTGTCTCTTTGCTTGGATGCGCCGTTCTGAACCCCCGCCTCTTGTAGCACGGCTATGGGCAGCATGAGGGTTGTGCGGGTTACAAAAGCCCATGCGTGCGCAAGCTCGCGCAAGGGCGGGTCAGGAACAAACAGTTCCTATTTCATATCTGGCATGTCTATCTGATCTATATGTATGCACTACACTCTGTTGAAATGCGTGTGTGAAGGACGGTGCAAGGGTGGGCGCAAGGCAACCCTAACGCAGGGGTATTGATACTGGATTTACAACAGCATCCTTGTGATGCAGAGGTTGGAGCCCTTGCTGGTAGAATCTGCCAAGCATGCATCAACAATCAGGCAACCCGCGACCGCATCATCACGCTGATCAAGAAGATGCTGGCCTGGCACTCACGTGTGGATTGTAGGACAGCAGGATTCACGCTCGCATGATCTGCACAGAGTAGCAATGGATAGCAATGGCACATCGAAAGCACGCAAGTCGCGATGGAAGAGTGGCCTCTCTATTCAGTCCTTGAGATCTTGTGCTAATGTGAGGTCCTTAGCGTGGCAGCGCTAGTCATGAGCAGGGTTCAGGGCCCTCGTTCAGACTCAAGGCTAAAGCTGCGGGACGCCAGAATCCTACATCAGCCCCATGGTCTCCGCCTGTGAACCCCAACCAAGCAGCACATATAGCACCTAGCAGTTGGCGGGGAAGCCAGGCCTTTAGGGGCATGCGCTGCCCATCTGGACAGCGGTATTATGCCAGGCCGGGGACACAGCAACCTCAACACCAGCTCGCTGAAAATGCTGAAAGTGTTTAAACTTGCTGCGACTTCGTCTGGCTTTCCAATGTGTTCATAGCTTGGCCACATCTGCAGTTGTTGGGGTTGCGGTCAAGTTTGGAAGGCAGCAGGGTGCACATCACTGCAGAGGCCATAATCAAGCGCAAAAGAAAGTCTTGGTCATACTCATGCCAGAAGCCCTTGAAGTTTCTGGTCAAGCTTTCAATCAGTTCGGTTGCCATTATCATGAGGCCTCACTCATGGCTGATACGCACAATTCTGCCAAGCCGTGCCCACCTGCCGGCTGATGCCAGGAGCGATGTGCTGGCACTCTTTCACAAGCTTTTCCACAAGGCAATATTGGGGTTGGGGCTTGCAGTGTGGTGTTGGTGTGTGCGCATGTGTGCGTGCGTGTGTACGTGTGTGCCTGTGCGGGTGCCTGTGCGTGTGCGTGAGTCTGTGAGCCCTGCTGCCAATTCTGCAGGTCATTATTTGTGTTGTTCTTTTCTTCTTTCTTCCCCTTGTGAACAACTAAAGGAACAACCAGCAGTGGGACAGCTACCGATCCAACGAAGCTTTTTAAGAAGGGATGGATTTTTGGAAGCCAACATCGGTACCTGCTAGGGGAGAAATCTTATCCCTCTTTGGTAGCAGGGATCCGACCCTCTGCCAAGGCATTGCGCATAGTCCAAGGCATTGGTGGCCATTCTCACTGTCTTTCACAAGGGACGTTGCTGTTTTGTTTCATTTTGTGGGTTGCCAGTGCTTTCCTGGGTTCTTTTGCCAACGAAGACACTGTGCCATTGCTGGTGTCTGGCACAGGGGGGGAGGGGGGGGGCAGGATAATTGCCCCACGTACTCACTTCTCAGTGTGTTTTGTAAGTATGTCAATTCTGGTGTCTGGCACGCTTTTGACATCAAGACTTCATTCATTTTCCTGCGCAAGGTTTGTCTTGACTCGAGTCCATAACGTTTTTTGGTAAACAAAGTGTATCGTTATGTCGTGTCCCATCATGAGGGCAGATCACAGGGACCTCAGATCCAACCCCAAGATGTGGTCATGACAACCTATTCAGCTCTGAGCTTCACCTATCGGTATCATCTGCATAGGAGTGCTTGTTGTGGTTAGGGAAAAGTGACATATTCAAGTGTTCGCGTGATGAAACAAGCGTAGGACATGTGTTCCCCTGCTTGTTAATGTTGGCAGTCTTGTTGCTGCTTCTTTCTTGGTTCGTTGTTTGTTCTTCCTCTGTTTTATTACATGCATTCTTGCCCAGCTCCTGTCATTTCTGGTTTAGTTGGTTTTGGTGGCCTGCTAAGAAGCGGGCAAAGGTGACCATGACTACTGAAGCCCCTTGGGCGAGTTGTCTGTGCACACCCTGTTTGCCAATTCCAAAGGGGAGGACACGGGGGGTGTGGGGGGGCTCTGTCCAATGGAGGTCCCTCCCGTTTTACTCAAGCAGACATACCTGCCCACCATTCCCCCAACATGATGCGCTTGGGGCCGCCGTGCCAGCTGGTCGTCATGGTGACTCCCCAAGGGCCTGTTCGCAGGTCCGGGGGTTTTCATTAGAGTTATACGAAGCTAGTGTTCCTATCAGGCCAAGGATTCAGGTGAATCGATGCCCCTCCCGGGAGAGGGGCCACTGCAAGGGCGCATGCGGTGGCGGGAAATGACCTGTCTACAAATATCTCCCGGACGGCGCTACCTGAGTCGATTGATCAGTGCCGAGGTGTGCACATCAGGGAGGTACGGCGTTCTAGACAGCCGCCGCAGGCTGTAAGTCGTGCCGAAGTGGGAGGCCTTGGTGTTACCTAAGCCCGTCATTTTTGCAGGGAGCTTGGCATCGTTGAGCGCTATGTCTGGATGGCGAGGGCAGTCTACCCCAGCTGCTGGTTGGAGTGTGTTTGGGGGAGGTGCAGCTGCAAGGCGTGCCGCAGTGGGAGGCCTTGGTGCTACCTAAGCCA